CCCCTATATCGCTGTGTACACACTGCACACCCCCAGTGCCGCTAGGACATGCAGGGCCCTTGATGGCCCGGCCATGGCCCCCCTGTCCACTTCCACCCCCTGCCTCTCTCTTCACCTTATTTCCTCACTAAAATCGAGGTCCTCACAGGCGCAGGCGCACAGCGGACTGCTTCCCTTCTACAACTGCCCACACGCCACCCGCCCTTCTGTCTGTCTGGGGCCTCACCGGCTCGTAAAGGCTTCACTGGCCCCTACCCAGGTCCCTTCCCTGCCGCCCCTGGAGCTCCTGAAGAACACCCCCAGCCCTTCGTCACTCCATCAGACCACTTGTCCTGCAGCTTATATTCTTCTGCTTCCTCCTACGTCCTGTATCAGCCCCTGAGCTTTTCTAGGCAGGGCCAGCAGTCCATGCATCCTTGTGTCCTCTGAGCTTACAGCACCTGCCACCTAATGGGGTGCTTAGGAAAAGCTTGGGGAACTGAAATGAATGTAACTTTTGACACTGCTGACAGATATGTATTATTACACTCCTTTTAGAGATAAAGAAATGAAGCTGAGAGAGGTTAAGTAACTTGCCCACTATTACATAAGCCAGGGGCAAGCTTAGATTTAAATACAGGTCATTTGGAGTGGGGGTGTCTAATCGTAACCCTCAGGGTCAGGCTCAGAGGCTCTCTCCACTGATGGAGACTCAATAGGGAACTAAGTGTACTTCAGGTAGCAATGGGAGGCAGGGGTGACTGGAGTAATAATAGTAGGAGTTAATAAATTACTGACATATCCATCAGGCAATGTTTTAAGCACCTGATGTAGTTCAGATCACTTAAAAAACCTTATATGGGAGAACTATTAGTCCAATTTGAGACGTGAAAAAGCCAAGTCATGAGCAAGTTCAGTCCCTTGTCCAGATCAGAGACTCAGGATTTGGACCCCACCAGACCAGCTCACAGCCTGTCCTGGGAACCTGAGCTCTGCTGCCTGGTGACAGTCTAGGAACACAGCCTCATTGCAACAGGGCTATAGGGACTGATGCACGTTGTTCAGGAAGAGGTGCCACCCCAGTGAGGCAGCAGAGGCCACCACCGCGGAGCAGGCTGGTCCCAGTCCAGTCCAGTTCCAGAGCTGAAGCCGCCCACTTTTTTGCCTCATTCATAAGACGAGGGATCCCTGCTCAGACTCACACCTCCTCACAGCTGGGCCAGGAAGCAGGCACCTCTGAGGGCTGGAGAGGGGCTGGGTAAGAAACAACTTAAGTGAATCAAGGGAAAGGATGACAAACTAAGCTGCTGGGGGCTGCTCTACGCAAGGCACAAAACCCACCATATCCCATCGAATCTTCAACACACTGTACCTACAAGAAACCGGTGCTCAGACAAGTAAAGTGACCTGCAGCACAGCACACAGCCAGTAGCTGGCGGTCCAATGGTTCCAAATGAGAATGTTAGATTTGTCAGGTAGTCCAGACGTGTCCAGAATAACCTCCCTGATTGTCGGCTCTACCTTCCATCTCCCAAGCCCTGGGTTTAGTTCTGATAGAGCTGAAGGAAGGAGATAATAGTGCAAATAGCATCGGCTTAGCAGATGGGAAGCACCAACCATTGCCACTGTGAACAGCCCCCTCCCCTGTCATTTTTCTTCTCTGTAAACTAGGAGGGCTGGATCTGAAGGACTGTCTCAGGTCTTTTCCAGGGCTAACATGCTGTGCTACACTCACCATTACTTGTACTACCTCCATTCTGTGAAAACAGAGGTAAACTGTGCACCTCCATCCCAGGACTGCAGCAAGTGGGGGGGCTCACTGGGGCGCTCACCCCTTGTTGCAGCAATGGCTTTGCCAGCCTCACTTTCCTCAACTGCAAGGCTTTGAGGACTGACTCAGTGGATGCAAGGTCAAGTCTACACTTTGATGAACACAAATGCTTGGTGCTCCTAGGGGAACAGCATGCACCAACACCTAACCTGGCCAGGGCTGGGCTCAGGATTCTACACATTACCTCATTTCACCTTCCCTGTAACCCCACAGGGGAGATACTGGCATGAACGTCCCCTTTTGTCCATGAGTACACTCAAGTCCACAGCGCTTTAAGGATTTGCCCAAGGTCACATCCATGCTAGATAATTCCTGAGTGGCTTAATTTAATAATGATGCTGCAGAAATACACCCCAGGTGGTGAATAAAAGGTACCAGGGAGGTTGGAGTTAGATCTGGTTGACATGTAGCCCATCTAAGCCTGCTCAGTGCAGGATGGAGGAAGGGGGCCTCTCTGTGGCAGGTGCTGCCCAGTACACGATGATGTGAGGCCAAGCTTCCCATGCCTGGCTCTGAGGCCACAGGTGCTACCTTGAGTCGCACGGCCAGTGATCCACAGGTGGCAGATCTGACCCCAGGATGTTTGGCCCCAATGCTGAGCCGGTTCCTGATGGTCTTTCTTCTGATGAATGGCCTCCTCCCCCACAGGGGCTGCAGAGGACCCCTACCCACATTTTCTGGAATGGCATTTTGTGACCCTGAGTAGTCTCCATGATAACCAGGGTCTTCCCACCACTCCTGGTACCGGCTGCACCTCTCTGCACCACAGGGACTGCAGAGGCTGCCCAGCCCAGGTGGACTGGAAGCTGAGGCTGCAGGCTGCTGGTGCTCCCTGAGCAGGGCAGGGAGGGCTGGGCAAGTGGCCTCTGGGCAGATCCATTCAAGGTGTGGGGAGTGGGGAGAGGATCCGCCCAAGCTTCTGGACTCTTTCTCAAACCCCCATAGTCTACCCACTTCATGCCAGTGCCCCACAGGCCTCAGTCCTGTCCACCCAAGCCTCCGCACGAAAGGCCCTCTGTCTGTTCTGCTTCCCCAGCCANCAGCCCAGGTGGACTGGAGGCTGAGGCTGCAGGCTGCTGGTGCTCCCTGAGCAGGGCAGGGAGGGCTGGGCAAGTGGCCTCTGGGCAGATCCATTCAAGGTGTGGGGAGTGGGGAGAGGATCCGCCCAAGCTTCTGGACTCTTTCTCAAACCCCCATAGTCTACCCACTTCATGCCAGTGCCCCACAGGCCTCAGTCCTGTCCACCCAAGCCTCCGCACGAAAGGCCCTCTGTCTGTTCTGCTTCCCCAGCCACCGAGCCCACTAACTGCCCCCAGCTAGAGGTTCACACCCTGTGTGGGCCCTGTACCTGGAACTTCTATGCCCACCTGATATGCCCTCCTCAGTGCCCTCCTCCTCTGTCAAAAGCCAACACAAGTGATCCCCATGACATGGATCCCCCTCCCATGAGCTTCCCCAAGCCAGTCCCGTCTCCACCCTGTGCTTAAGGTCTTGAGTGCGGGGTGGTCTGTGCCCGGCAAGTGTGACACCCTTGCAGGTTTGGCAGCACCCCAGAGACGGGAACTCTGTGTCTCTGTGCTGCTTAGGTGTCCCCGCTGGAGGCCAAGGCATGGCATAAGGCACTTGGAGACTCTTTAAAGAATGAATGAACACGACAAGAACAGAGGAAGAGGAAGGGCCGAGCGCCGGCGTAGGAGGGCCAACAAGTGGGGAACGGGGCGAGGGGGGGAAGGGCCGGGCCCTCCACTTACCCAGCCGGGGCCTGAAGCTGCGGACCGTGTTGCCTCCTCCAGGCCTCCCGCCCCTGCGGCTGTACTTCTCATAAAGCCTAAGCATGTGGACAGCGACCATGTCCTGGGCGCCCGGGCCCAGG